TCCTAATAGGGAATTTTTTATGATTATTTGGACACATTCGTATGTGTTAAAATTGTTTTTGTGATAATGACTTGGAGAACTGCAAGACAATACATGGGACGAGTATGAGTAGGTGTGAAAGGTAGTAGAGGCCTATACTACCGGAAGCACAAGACTCGCACTTGGATCATGGAAAGTCACAAGGTTACCAAGAAGCTAGTTATTGGTTTCGCTTTGTTCTAGTATGTCGTTACCATTGTTTCGGTAATGACTAAGAGGATGATTGTTATTCCGACCCTATTGGTCATATCAAATCGAGTCCGACTAAGACGAGTATGTTACGTGGTTTAAAGAACCAAGATTGATGTAACATTTGAATTAAGCCATAAGATTGAAGTGAAAGATAATCGAAGCGGTCAATAGAAGTATCGCGATCATTGTTAAAGTAAGAAACTTGTAGCTAGAAGTGCTACATGCTAGAATGTGATTATATCACATTAGAATATGAAGGAAGGTATATTCCATTATGGAATTTGTCTCTAAGAGACCTGAGTCTAAGCGTTGAATCACACGATGAGAAGTCATTAGAACATGACCCATCGGTATATTATGGTAATCGAAGGAAATAACTTATCTTAAGCCCATAAAGAAAAAGAAGGAGTTTCCAATACGAATCGAGATTGTAACTTGAAGGTTATAATTGAAAGTCCAACATAGTACGAGAAGCAGATGCAAGATTGAGCATTATCTGCAGTCAAGAAGTCCAATAGTTAGATACTTATTCGAAGGAACATAGAAGCTATAGTTATTACCTATGATGAAAAGATAATGCATGGAGTCATTATACAAGCCGTGTTTTGTTGATGATTCCTGGATGTAATCATCCTAAGGGGGAGATAATTGTAACGCCCGTAGATTCGAGCTAGTCTATTTAGAAACGATAAGCATCGGAAATAACTTTTTGATAAAATATTATTTAGAATGAATAATCTTAACCAAGTTTTAGTGGTCATGACAAGGGTTCCAGATATATTAAGAATGTCGAAATTCGAGTTATAACGAAGAAGTTATAACTTGTCGAAGTTTTGCGACAAAACCGGCACGACACCAAGAGTCGTAAAAAGTGAGTTTATGATAGATTACTTTTTAGCCTTAGTGACCCAAATGAAAGTTGTAGAGTACGTCTCCACCTACGCGTGGATACGAAGAACGTCAAAAACGGAGATCTTATGCAAAAGTTATGGCCTTCCGAAGATGTAGCTGTCTGAGACATGTGTCAGAAACCCTAATCTGACTAGACTCACGATGTGAGCCGCTTTTCTCATGACGTAAGGAGTCAAAAGGCCACTTTTCAAGGATAGAATGCAGATGACAAGTCTACGTTTAGGACTCACAACGTGAGCCTTAATTCTCACAACGTGAGGAGTCAAACAGACACTAATCGAGCCTAGAAGACACACGGCAAGCCTAGGGGATGACCATGATCAAAGTCACGACGTGAACATACATGGTTCACGACGTGAATGTCGAACTTTCAGCCTATAAACAGAAAGCTAGACCTCCGGGGTTTGTTTACAAACTCTACTTCCTCGATCTCACACTCTACTTCTTCTCTAGCAACTTTTAAACTCCCCGAAACCCCAGTATCATCCCTAAAACCCGAAGAAAGCCCGGACCCCCGAAGTCTCCAGGAAAAAGAGTTTTCGAGCCGAAACTCTGCCCGCGTGATGCACGGTTTTTGAGAAAACATCTCGGTTTCATCGGAAACGATCGTTTTAAGAAACGAAGTGCTGCCCGATTATCATTAAATCATGTGAGTGTATAGTCACTTTCATCTTACACATAGATATGAAGTATTTTATATAAAGTACGTGTTATATGTATATACGTTGTTTGTTTATTTGAGATGAATGATGAATGAATGTTTTATACAGATTTTAAATTGTATATGTATTTTATATCTACCAATATGTTGCTTAAAACGTGGGTAGATGAAAGATTGTTTTATACATATTCTAAACTGTATATGTATTTTATATTTACATATATATTGGGTAAAACATGGGTAGATAAATAATGACGGATGAAAGATGATATAGATGTTATTGGCAGTTGCGCCTAATAAATAACATTGGCAACTGTGCCTAATAAAGAATAAATGATGTTGGCAGCTGCGCCTAATAAACAACATTGGCAGCTGTGCCAATTAAAGAATAAATGATGTTGTTGGCAGCTGCGCCTAATAAATAACTAATTAGAGAATAAATGATGTTGTTGGCAGCTGCACCTAATAAATAACATTGACATCTGCGCCATAGGCAAAGATGGACTTCGTGCTTATTTCTTAGGTTAATCCTTAGGAATGAATGAACCAGGAATAACTGATTTTTAGGGTAGGTCCTTAAGAGTAAAGAAAATAATAGGTGTGAGAAATTAGGCTGATTGTTTGATGTTTAAACATAATAGATAAATTTATTATGGTTGATGAAATTAATAAATTTATTATTTGTGGGTTGAAAACCATATATGCTCACCAGACTCGCAAGTCTGACCTACTCAACTTTTTATATTACAGGTAGTACACCTAGAACATAGTTTGGATGATGAAGAGAGATTTTGGATCATAGGCCAATAACTCTTGTAAGGCTTATGATGTACTGTTTATGCTTTTAGTCTGTATCGGAACATGACATCTCGAGGTTTTGATATATAATAAAGATACATATTTCTTTAAGAAATGTTTTGATAAATTTTTATCATGTTTTGTTTTGGAGATAAATTCCACAACATCTTTTATAAGATTACTTTGATTTATTTCAAAAACATAAACTAAATCAATCTTTTCTGGTCGAGAAATTTGGGAATGTCAAAGTTATGCAAGCAAGTATATACCAGGTGTGTGGAAAAATATCACGAGCGTTGTAAAGTACCTTCAAAATAAGGGTATTCCAAGTGAAACAATGCTATACAAACAACCAGGTCCAACTGGTGAAACGTGGAAGTGTAATCTCACTGATGACGGATCCTTACAGTGAAAGTTCTCCAGAAAAATTAGACTTCAACCCCACACTAAGTATGTGATAGTTTACATGGTTGAAGGAGATCTCAACTAAAATTAATTGTTTCATTTTAAATGCTAAAATGGACAAAATACCATCAGCTTTGGGCCTTTTATCTAGAGAGGTAGCTTTGAAAAATTCATTATGCAGCCACTACGAAGAAGCCAAGGAATGTGCAGATCACACATTGGTGGGGTGTAGATACGCGAATATAGTTATACAATGGGTTCTAAAATAACGTGGAGTTCCTCCCGGAGAACTCAAAACAGTAGATGAGGTGATCACTTCTGCTTATACATGGTCCAATTGCCCAAAAAAATAAAAGGCTTCTCACGGGAATCTGTTATGTCACGCTTTGGAGTATATGGAAAGTAAGGAATAACATAATTTTCAATAAAAACCGGCTTCCCGCTTTTATTTGTGTGGACACCATCAAATCCACAACATACTTGTGGATCAAAAAGAGGGGGAATAACAGGAGTATTGATTGATCAATGTGATGTAAATCTCCATTTCTTTGTCTGTAATCTATAATCTTAATATTTGTACTTTGTTATTTCCCCTCCTCTAATTACTTGCTAAAGGTTGGTCTTATTAATATATTGGCCGGTTCCAAAAAGAAAAAAGTAAAACAAAAATGTATTAAAACAACACCCTAATAAGTAGCTAATGTAACATTTAATTTCATAATCAAGTTGTCTTCCTTTTCAAATATGGTAATATCGATCTAATTAAAATAATTAAAAATAATCATAACCTTTTTTTGTTTTAACACGTTAAAGCTAATTATAATCATGAGTTTAAACCACAATAAGCAATATCGCGTTGTAGCATAAATATACCAGACAAGTATAAAATGATAACATAACTTATTAAGAATGAGTGATGTTGGCAACGACAAGAGCCGTTTTGTCTACGTGGACGGCCGGAAACACCGTGGTAAACAGGGAACACCGCCCCCATCACCGTTATGTGATGCTCTGTGGTGATGGTAACGAGATGCAACAAGAGTTTCTTCTATGCTTCTTCCTCTATTTTCCTCTTTCTTAATGCAGTGGTAACCGAGAAACACCATACCTATCAATAGCCTTGTGGAGAAGACGAAAATTCATGCCGACATAGCCCTTTCAACGGCGTTGACCATACCGAGTCCTCTAATGTATTGCAACATCATATATTTGTTTTCCTCGTAATTATAATGTTAGTGAATTTTTAGTTTTTACCATAGGTGTACTTAAAAAAAATGATTTATCACGATTTAACATCACTATGAAAAACAAATTAATAAAACTAGAAACAGATTAAAATAAAGATGTTATGCTAACTAAGTTAAAATGTATATTAAATCCTTAAAAAAGTTCTAGAAGGTTTTTAGAAAATATTATATTAATATTTAATATCAGTTAATAAAAAACCAATTATTTAATATAAAAAAAAAACTAGCACCTTAAAAAGAACTCGCACCATAACTCAATAAGGGATATTAATTGGGTGTCACCCTTAGCAAACCGTCTTTTTAACGTTTTCGTAACGGCTAGGTCACCCCTCGCGTTTTTTTGTTAGAAACGTGGTTCTAATTAAATTAATGTTGCTAAACTTATTCAACCCAACTACCATCGCTTATAGCAATACAAACGTAAATGATATCATATAGTCTAAAGTTACGGAATTATATTAATGAGCTAGTGTATATATAAACAGCATGCATACGATGGAAGTGATGGTGTAAACACATCAATCAAAGAAGCCACGGATCATGATTCATTTGTATAGGACCAAAATCTAGAAACCTGTTCTTCTTTACGGCTCTAACACATGATTACATTGGGAAAAGTTTTACTTCAGTCTTCAGCTACTTCTAGTTCATCTTCTAGTGTCAGCAAACTTAATGGAACCCTAAAAGTACCCTGAGAAAGCCATACGTATTCTACTAGTAAACAGTAAGCAAATTTAGATTCACACCTACCAACTTTCTACATTTCCAATGGCGTACATCTTCATTGTGGAAGACGGCATGCTCCCGTCTCTCGGAGGATCAAACCACACCGGCAGGTATTCCGATGACGGACTTTGTAACTGCATTCTTTCGAAGTTCCTCACAAGTGCATCCTTCCCCTATCATTCATCAATCATTCTTATATATACGTATATAGATATAGATATACATACTCCTTTTACGATAATAAAACCCTTAGAAAGGTAAGGCATATAAAGATATATACCTGGATTTTGGCACGAGCAACATCGGCAATCTTTTTGCTTTGAAACAAATCCCATCCTTTTCCTTTAATCGACTTCTGAAACCTCCAAGCAGCCTCCGGGGTTGTGAAGTTTACGAACGCATATCCAGCGTTTAAACGATATCTGCATCAAGATTTATAACTCCATTAACGTGATATTTATATGATCATATTAATTAGGAGTGAAAGAGTTAAAAGCTAGCTACCATATATATAATACATACTTGAAATCAACAGGAAGATATACGAAATCGAAGGCTGATCGAACCACGTTTTCGTCCTTCTTGTTTTCTTGGTTGCAATGATCCTCCAGCAACTTCACTAATAGTTCCCTACTGTTTCCGGTTTCATAAGTAAACAAAAGAAAGCTCGTGTGTATTAGTACCAGTAGAACAATGGAGGTGGGAGAGATGGTAGAGGAGATAAGATTACGTACGTGTAGTTGTTTGGGATGTTTCGAATCATGATGGAAGTGGAATTTTCATCAGGATCTAAAGGTGTGACTTCTCGATAAACCCCTTTTCTCACCCACAACGGTCTACCACCGTCGCTGCGACCATCATCGCCAACAATGACACGTCCTGATGCAAATCTCCGTCCAGGAGTACCTCTACCTCCTCGAATCCTCGGCCCCTTAGGGACTGGAGTAAGTGAATTCGAATATCTAAAAGAACTTTTCCCAATCCTGGTCGGAGGCGGTGGTGGTTGGTGTGGAGGCAGCGATGGCGATGGCGATGCCGGAGGGGGGACACCAGTTGAAGGTTTAAAATGATGGGATCTGGAAGGGTAAAACGGTAATGCATCAGGATTCAATCGACGTGTACCCTCCATTACTTTTGTTAATTTCCTTACTAGTACAGCTGCTAACAAAATCGAAGGGAGAAAAGGGTCGCGGGGAGAAGCTGAGAAGGTAATGATCAATTATGGGAATGGCAAGTGGTGGCGGTATTGGTGGCGCGTGAGGAGGTAAGGGGGTAAGACTCAGAGTAATGATTATGTGCATTAAATGCATGGATTCGAAAAGAGATTGTGGGCGACGAATGTTTGCCTTGAACACTCTTGAACTTCCCTTGATTGTTACATCGGTTGTCCTTTTTTGGTGAATACCAAATAATATTATTTTGCTATCTTTGATCTTTTATAAATAGATGCAGTTTTTATATCTATCCCCAATGGTGTATACCTTTTTAGAGTGTAATAACGGCACAACTTATTATAAATTCAATTGTTTTTCTTTATAAGAATTAAATTAGCCAAAAACTATAATAAATCAAAAACTATAGTAAATCAAAAGAACATCTTAATATATATGTTACGGTGGTGTTTATAACTTATATATCTTGAGAACATTTTTTGTTGAGTTGTTAAAATTAGCGTCTTTTAAGGCCACTTGACATGTAATTAAATGTTATTTGAGAAAAATGGCATGAGTAAGGGTCGATAACGGCAGTGTTTCATCTTCCTATTATCATTGTAACCGATTGTTTTTAGGTTTTTTTGAACTGCGGGTTAGTATATGTCTGTGCCCGTGATACATTTCTGAAATGATATTGTATATGGTTGAAGGGGTATCTCATTGTTTTTCTTGATAAGAGTTAAATTAACCATATATATATATATATATATATATATATATATATATATATATATATATATATATATATATGTTAGAGTGGTGTTTATAACTTATATAACTTGAGAACATTTTTGTTGAGTTGTTAAGATAACCGTATTTTAAGGCCACTTGATATGTAATTCAATGTTATTTGAGAAAAATAGCATTTAGTATTAAGGGTCGTTATGGCAGTGTTTGATCTTCCTGTTGTCATTGTAACCGATTGTTTTTAGTGTTTTTTTTTAAACGGCGGGTTAGTATATGCTTGAAATAGAACTCATGACCTCCTTGTTAGTAACTCGTTGTTAGACACTATGTTAGCCAAGTGAGCTAGCCCCAACTTATGATTGTTTTTAACTACCACCATAAATTGTACCACGAATAGATAAAGACGAAATGATAATGGACTTACAAAAGGAGCTTCAACAATCAGACTCGACCCTAATGTGTGTGTGTGGGGTGGGGGGGTAAATGCGACTACACAAGGTTTAAAAAAATAAGTTTCTGAGTTTTAATCAAATTATATATAATTAGTAATTAATAAGTAAATATATGTGAGTGTATTCAAAGTTTTACACATAATTTCAATAGCCCAAAATGATTTAGGTGTTGTTTGTTTTTTGTCTACAGATCTTCTTGGTCTTTTATGTCTGTGCCGTGTAGACAACGCGCAAACATAAGGCTTCGTAGACTATTTTTTTTTTTTGAAGACTGCAGACTTAAAAAAATTTGCGCGTTCTCTTCTTGGCGCAGATGTGAACCAGAATCTTCAAATCTCTTCAAACATCTTATAGCCTAAAAAAAACATATATCTTAGTTATTGTTGTTGTTGTTGTTATTATTATTATTATTATTATTATTATTATTATTTTACATAAACTTATTCCAATTTTATCTATGATAAACAATTTGGAAAAAAAATTACAATACTTAAATAAAAAAGGTTCGACAAGACAATAATAACTTTTGTGACAAATTTATAAATAAACATTTTATACAATAATGTTCGTTAGAGTTCTTTATATAAATATAAAAAAAATCATAATATTATCTTATATTTTTTGTGACAAATTTTATAAAATATTTATGGTAAGTTTACCTTTTTTCTTTAAGTTTAAAATATCATTCATTTATTGGGATAAATATTTATGGTAAGTTTTTAATTGAATTAATTGAAAAGGTAAACTGAAAATTTTGAAAATTTCATTTAAAATCAAAATTTATTTTCATCTTAATTTTTTTTTATCCTTAATTATAGTTTTAGGTATATCTTTTGCGATCAAAATTTGTTGGTTTTTATCAAATATGTATGTTAATTCGTACTATTTTATTTTCACTTTTTATACAATAATACATAAAAGTTGATCTAAATTTGTTAATTATTTATAATAAAGTTATAAAAATATTAAAAAAATCTTTTAAGTTTTTAAAAAAATCAGTGTAATTAAATTTTAGTTTATTCTAGCAGCATGTAGATGTTAAAAAAACAAATAATCTTTTTCTTTCAGACAACAGATGTTTGGTCCATCTCTTCTACTGCAGAGATTTACAGAATGCAAACATTGTGTTTAGAATCAACGATACTCCTTTTATAGCATTTTTACCTCTTTTTAAGTCAAATTATAGTCTAGTCATTACTTTATTCTATATATTTCACAATCAACCTTTTCTTCCAACTCTTTTAACAAATCAAGTTTATAAAAGTTTTGTGATTAGTCCATAAACTTTTATAAAATCTCATATGCCTTTTTTTAATTAATTTATTTACTTTTAAGTTTTTTATCACAAACAATTCATCATCTTAAATTTATTTTGCTTATATATAGAAAAAAAATTATATTTAGGGGTCTATTTATTTTTCTCGCACATGGTTAAAAAATCAACGGACCGCCCCTGTAAAGAATGTTAGAGGCACTTGGGGGCACATGAGATGTGTATTTTACAACTCGAAATTACGGAAACCATACATGTACATCCAGAATCATGGTAGCTCATAGAGGTTGGAGGTACATTCTTATTTAACATCTCTTACATTGTTATTTAACTTTATATTATATCACTTATTTGTGACATCTCTTGTTTTCATAACAATTTTTTTACGCTTTAAAAATCACAATTGTAACATCCCGAGTCCAGGAGTGTAAGTTCAGGGTTCAAAGTGTAATTATGAAAGGGCAACTCGGCGAGTCCATGGGTGGACTCGGCGAGTAGGGTCGCGACTCAGGTCGCGTGTTAAGTGGCCAACTCGGCGAGTAGGCGCTGAGTGAAGAAAACCCTAATTTCGAGGGATGAACCCTATATAAAGGACATTATACCCTCTCCCCAACTTCTTTACCCTCTCTTGAAGTCCAGAAAACCCTAAGGTGTGTTTGTGAGTGATTTGAGGGCATTGGAACCTTGGAGAAGAGATTTTAGAGGAGATCTTGGAGATATAGGAGGCTTGGAGCAAGGGGCTTTGCTAAGAATCAAATTTCTCTTCTGTTGGGGCTTCCTTTTGAGGTATTACTTTGTTTTTTGGGCTGTTATTCATCTAGATTCATCATCTTGGAATGTGTGGAAAGTTTAGCTTGTGGTATTTTAAGTTTGAAGGTTAGATCTGAGGTTGCTACCTCAGATCTGGTATGGAGAAGGTCTAGAGTGCATTAAAGTCCCTGTTATTGAGTGTTTGGTGAAGCCATCTTGTCCCAAACCCTAGCCCTAGAGTGTAAAATGCCTAGATCTCTTTGGATTCACGTAAAGTTTGCCACTTTACGTGATGGAAGGGTTGTAGAAGGGTAGATCTACGTTTTGGATCGATTACATGGCCTGGAAGGCTTCTGTATGGGTTAAGAGCTAGTGGTACTCACCGAGTCACAAGGGTGCACTCGGCGAGTTGCTTGAAGGTGGGCAGGAACTCGATGAGTTGGAAGAACAACTCGGCGAGTTGGTTGAAGATAGCCTTGGACTCGGCGAGTCTGGTCTTGAGATCTTAGCCTTTCCTGGTTAAGCTAAGAATCAGTGAGTCAAGGGATGACTCAGTGAGTTGAGATGGGTCTTTTTAGTGTTGGGGGACTCGGCGAGTCAGAGGGATGACTTGGCGAGTAGAGTCAGGCAGAAGGTTGACTTTGACTTTGACTTTGATCAAGAGTTGACCAGTTGACTTCCAGGGGCATTTTGGTAATTGTTGGATTTTGTTTTGAGTTCAGTGTTGGTGTTAGCCAGTGGTGGAGATCGTGTCAGTGGTCGGAGCATCTTGGTCTTATCTTTCCAGTCAGCAGTTGCGAGGTGAGTTATCCTTACTCTATCAACAAGGTCTAAGGAACCAATGCCGGCCCTTTATCGGATTGTAATCCGGGTATTGTTGTTATGTTGTTGTTTTACTATGCTTGCATCTTGGTAGTTAGGATGGTATATGTTAGAGACCTGGTTAAGGTCGGTATCCTGGTATATAGGGTGATGCTATGCTAGTGACCGATTAGGTCGGTATCCTGCTTAGAGTATGTCGTGCTACGTGATCTGCTAGATCGGTTTGATTGAATGTGAATTGTTATATGATTGTATGTTTATGTGCACATGGTTGTTTGACTGGGGTTGGGTTGAGGCGGGACCTGCTTTGTGCTGTAGGCCAACATACCCAGGGCGGACCAGTTATTACGAAGACCCAACGAGCGGTCCAGATAGGCTGTAGGCCCCACGAGGGCGAACCAGACGTGCCGAGGCTCGGAGAGTGGACCAGGCCGACTGAAGGCCCGATGCGGACGGATCAGTCATACTGTAGACTCAGAGAGTGGACCAGGTGGGTTGAAGGCCCGGTGCGGGCAGACCAACCACATTGTAGACTCAAGGGACATGACTAGACTCGGCGGGTGGACCAGGTGGACTGAAGGTCCGTCACGGTGGACCAGTCACACAGTAGATCCGATATGCATGGCTGTTCTGTGATTTGTTATGATATAGCATGTTACGTGTGTATGGTATATGTGGTTGGTATTTTGGGGGTATCTCACTAAGCTTTCAGGCTTATAGTTGTGGTTTAATGTTTTTCAGGTTCTTCAGGAGACTGTGGCAAGGCAAAGGAGTGATCGTACCGCTCCTCGTGTTTATGATTTATGTTATGGTTCTGGGAATACTCTGATAATAAATGTATTGAAAACCGTTTTGTAATAACATTATTAAAATGGGTTGTTTTTGAAAAGTTAAAATTTGTTGAAATTTTTGGTCGTTACAAGTTGGTATC